AATTGCAGAAAGACCTATGTACCAGACTACTAATGATTAAAGGGCTGGAGTGAGAGGAAATGTGAAGTCCTTCCTGTCAAGGCTTCAGATGAGATGCCACCGGAGAACACCTGGATAGGAGAGTGCCGAGGAAGAGATCTGGTTCTGGTCAGTCAGTGTCATCGGCATGGTTGCGCCAGCTCATTGGGAAAGGGAGGCACTGTCCATGAGCTCCTGGCAAAATGCTGGGGTCTGATGACAGGAGCTTGGGTAACTCACAGCTGGAGTGGAGACCCTGGAGAAGTTGCACACACTTCCTGCTGAAGGGATGGACTTCTCAGCAAAGGCATAGAGAGCTTCAGAGCACATTATGTCCCAAAGAAAGGTAGGAAGCAACAGACAGTGGGAAAATGGTGAGATGGAAAGTTTGTAGCTTCCTGTGAAGAGCTGTGTTGTGGCCAGTTTGTCCTGTCTGGGAGAGTCTATCATCCATGTTCCCTCACATATCACAAACAAATGGATTCAGAGTGATTCTTGGCACAGGATAGGATGACACTCATTACATGAGATGCCTGTCATTCCTGGGTGTGCATGGAATCCTAGATGCTTCTTTTAAACCCTTGCTCTGATCTAGACACCACCATTTTTTGCCCTCCTGTGGCACTCCCTCGCATCTGTGTCCTAGATCAGATGTGTTTCCAGGTAGAAGAACCTTAAACAACTTCTCATACCTTGTCTGCCTTATCCCTGTTATGTGCATAACTTACTCTGCTGCCTCTTCCCCCAGAGTGCTGGTGTCATATATACTTCCTGTGTCCATCATGCTTGTCTCTCTTCTGAATTTCCATCATGATATGATGCATCTAGAACTTCATAGAAAACGACTGTAGTCTGGAAATATTCCATTACTCCTCTAGCTCCCCCTGTTGCCCTCCCAATCTTTTTTTTTTATTTTGATTTTGAACAAGATTTTTATTTAAACAACAAGAATCATCACTTGAAGTGAAAACTATCTAGGACCATTTTATTCAAGAGTAATTTACCCCTACTTAAAGACAGATTGTCCTATATGTAACAGCTATGTACAAAAAAAAGTCATAAAATTGTCGTTATTTTTACAATGATGAATGAAAAACATTAAAATTCTCCAATCAAACTAAGTATGCAAGGATTTTGTTGATGGGTTCTCTTTTTAAAACATAGAGAGAAAAAAATTACTGGAATATAAAGAGCTGACTGAGCATGCCTAATGGAGAAAGGGGAATATTTTCACAGAACCAGCATTCCCCACCCCCACCATCTTCATCTGATCTCAATCAAAACAAGATAGTGGACATTTAGTTTACGAAAGAAAAAACAGCCCTCCCAATCTTTATATCATCTGTGACCTCTTATTAGCCATTAATCACATATGCATATAAGAATTCACGAATATAATCTGCTAAAAATATTTGTTGTTGACTAGAATTGTTTGAGAGACCTAATGAAGTAAGGGATTTCATCTCTGAATAGGATTTTCTCAGTTTTACTGTATGTTAAATTGGCTCTTAAAGCAGTTTCTGGGTAACTGATAATTTCTGATTACTCTTCCAGTGAGGAATGTTGGTGGGAATTGCCTCACGCTTTCACATGTCACTTGTCACTGTGTAGGGAATACCTGCCTGTGGAGTGTCCAACCCCAGGTGATAATTACCCAAATGAAGTGTCATGTAAGACCTGAGGAATGGTGTGGTCAACATGCATGTAGGCATGAAAAATAATATAAATAGATCCATAATTCCTATTTTAAAACACTTATTATATATTTAAATTAGAAAAAAATATTGCTTCCCATGTCAGTACCAGATCCCTCTCCCTCCCCTCCATGCCTGCTTCCCCCACCAGCCCCACCAGCCCCACCAGCCTCACACCCAATCCCCACTCCATTCCCCAGGCACTGTAAGACCCTCCATGAGGGATCTCTAGAGTCTGGCATTTTGTTCGGGGGAGGGCCCAGGCCATCCCCCAATTGTCCAATTTGAGAGAGCATCCCTCATTGTGGGATGGGCACCCAAAGACCATTTGTGTTCCAGGGATAAATACTGATCTGCTACCCAAAGCCCCATAGATTGCCTAGGTCTAGATCCATAATTCTTACCACATACAAAACTTAATTCCAAGATGATCATAGACATAACCATAGCAGCACATACATTGAAGCTGATAGAAGACAGGGAACAGTACAGAATGCACTGACACAGAAAACAACTCCCTCTCTCCATGGTCACACAGAGTAGCAATTAATAGGGGGACAGCATAAAAAATGAAAGAAAATTTTTATTGACTCTGCATCTGATACAGGACAAATAACATCCTAAAATTTTAAACAGCTCAAGATATCAAAAGGTCCAAATATACAGCTTAATTCATGAGTTACAGATCTCAACAGACAACCCTTAAGGGCAGAAGCTCAAAATGCTGAGAAAGGAATGAAGAACTACTCAATATCTTTGTCCATCAGCAAAATGGAAATCAAAACTACTTTTAGATTCCATCTGTCATCAGAACGAAGTGGATATTCTCTGTTGGTTACAGGCTTGGAGCTGGAGGTAAGGCCAGGAATCCTAAAGGAATGGAGATGGGGTCAGTTCATAATCTGTCCCCATGGACAGGTGTTGTCCTCACCTGGCATCCTGAGGGCAAGTATTTCCAAGTACTCCTCTGCAGCAGAAAGAATACCTGGCAGCCTGAAGTGTCAATCCCAATGGTGTCTCTTCTCCATTTGCAGCACTGAAAAAGAGTCAAGGAAGAAGACAGGGCTGGTAAGTGAGCTGCTCCCTCCTTTCTGTGCCCCTCGCACTTAGGTACCTATAGCATTGGGACAGGGTTTCCTATGACCTCTGCTTGAGCAGCAGACTTCCACTACAAAAGATTCTGAGTTGAACTCCAGTTCTAAACACATGCAGTTTAGTCTCATGAGAGTTTAGGTATGTACCAAACCATACCTTGACTCTCACATGGCCTCTTAATCAAATTATGCTTGGAAACTTGGCAATCCACAGGTTTAGGAAGAAAATGATTCCACCAGGAATGGTTCAGCATTCATTTACTTCCAAAACTATTGTGGCAGAATCACAGGCAGTGTCCTAGGCAGAAGCAGAGCAGAGACAGGCATATTAATGTGAGTTCAAGGCTAGCCTCATGCAACATAGTTACGGTATATCAGTCAAGAATTTAAAGCAAGATATCAATAAATGGATTCATCTTCCTCAATTTCACCATGTAAAATGTCAATGTGTAACAAACTCTGAAACTTTAACATCCTAGCATAGCAAAGTTGAAGGTTTAAGGACTGGCCTGAATGGAGGAAATCTCCAACCACTCCAGAAATACTGGCAGGAGATGCCAAATGTTCTCTCAGGGAAGAAAAGATTTCATTGTCAGGAAAAGAAGGACTTACATGAGGTATGTGTTAGAGAACTGGATGAAATCTTTGCTACAGATACCTCAGTCAGAGGATTAGCATCTGGATTATTTACAATTAGATAAAATTTGTAAATCATGAGAAAGCAGTCAACCCTCTTAGTAAAGGAGCAATAAAACACAGCCCTCACAGATTTACTGAAAAAGGATAGTGTTCAGGAGGCATCAGGAAAACACATAGTGAACCTGCTTGAGCTGCCAACCAAGGCCACCTTCAACTCAAATGGGAAACACCGCTGATAGAATACTATGTATATACTCTGCTGCTGGGTATGGCAAGGTTTCCAGCCTGATTGGATACCAGTATGAAGGGTCCTCCAGAGTCCCAAACCTGCCCTACTGCATGGTTCATGTACACCTCATCAATGAACTCAATACATTTATTAAAGAGGTACTTGCCCATCAGTGTTGATTGCAGCCCATTACTAACCCAAGAATGGTGTCCCACAGCATTGTCAAGAGTGAGGAAGACGTGACGTACATAGAATTTGAAGTCCTTGCATCTGTAGTGAAAATGAAGTTGTGTTGTTTATAGTATTCAGATCCACCTGGGGCTCGATGAGATGGCTCAGTAGTTAAGGGCACTCTATGTTCTTGCAGACCCCAGGCTGATGTCAGAGGACATCATGGTGGCTTTCAATGTTACTGAATTCGAGAATCCAAAGAATTGGTGTCCTCTTGATTCCTCCTTGTGCACTCCACACATGTTTTACATAGCAATCCAGGGGGAAGACAAACACACACACACACACACACACACACAAACACAGACAAAATAAATTAAGATATTAAATGGATGCTTTGAAAAGTGGATGCAACTTGAGGTAAACATAGTAATTAACTTAAACCATTCTCAGAAAGAGAGTCACCCATGGTTATCATGGAATCATGAAATTGCAGGAAGACTTCTGTCCCAGACTACTAATGATTAAAGGGCTGGAATTAGAGGTTCAAATTGGTAGGAAGTGTGGTTACAGCAGGAGTGTGGTCACCACAGTGCGTAAACTCTGCAGAATATACCATGTTTAGTAACTAGTGTAATGAAAATGAAATCAAGAAGAATAATTTTATCATCACCACTGTTTTGGCTAATTGCTTTGAAGTAATAACTTGCAGTGATTTAACACACAGGATGTATTCATGTAACATCTATTGGCAATACAGATTAATGATAGCCAAGTTATGAGGAAAATCTCACACCCTGTATATATGTCAATGGATGAAATAACTGACTTTAGTTTCCATAGTCAATTTTAGTGTATTCAACTACTTACAAGCATAGAAACTATCTGTGCATTGATATATAAACCCAGACATGTAGACATTAATCTACTTACCTACATATATACTTACATGTTTATATATTCACAAGACATTTAAACATCAGACATACCCGTGTGTCTGTATGTATATCCCAGCTTGTGTATGATGTCCAGCACTGCATTTGAAGGCCTGGCCAGCACTTACATTGCATAGCCATAATATTGAGCAATTCCCATATCCTTTTCCCTATTAAGGAAAACGTGAATTTTGTTCTGAGAGGAACACTTGGCAACATTCTATCGCTCCCATTGGGCCCAGCTTTTCATGGCCTTCCTCTCTGGCCTCTTCTCTGCTGTGATGGGATGTGAGAGGCCTGGACCTGGAATGTCGACTTTCATCCATGGAAGTGGTTGGTGGCTGAAATCTTGCAGCTGATATTGGGTTTGAGGTTTGGGAGGTGATGGGGCCTTGTAGCTGGCAGCAGAGACAAGATCCCTCAGGAGTGATGGATGAGCTGATGCTCTGTAGGGGTCAGGCCCAGAGACAGCTGGCCGAGGCCTTGTGCAAGAATAGAAGCTGTTGGTTATGTTATGTTTTCTGGCACTGGTGGAAGTCGGCACTGTTGTCTTCTCAGAGGCTGTCAAGGATTTGCTGGCAGGAGCTGCTTGGGATGAATTGAGTGTGATAGACAGAGCCAAGTGGGAATGTCGTCTCACAGCATAAGCTGCAGTGTGCTTGCCTGAAGTCAGGGAGAGAAGCTTTCTGGAAAAAGGTCTGGCTTTAGGCTTGCCCAGGTCTGGGAAGGGGAGAGGTACTAACTTGACCTTTCCAGGTGGGGGCAGCTTACACAGGGAGGGAGGTAGACACTCCTTGGGAGCACTGCTTTCTGGTCTCTGAGCATTCCCTGGGTGTTAGCAGGCCTTGGAACATCACATGGCACATCTAGCAGTGATGTGGTGGCCGGGCCTGTCCTGGCATCTTGGTTGCTGCCGAAGTTTGGCAGAGACTCAAAGCAGGAGATGCCTGTTTTCTTGTCATTCTTCTTTCCCAATGGGTGAAAGACCTGGACGGCCTCCAGCATGTGCATGCCGAGGTGAGTTCGAGCCTTTTTAAAGCTGTCCTGCCTGAGCTCAGGTGGATTCCTCTTCCTCTTGGTCTTGGGGATGCTGAGCTTGTCTTCTACCTTGACTCTGGGACAAGATGGCTTCAGATCTCCAGTTTTCTTGCTTTGGTTGTCTCTGATCTTCTTGGTCTTGTCTGGCTCTGTGCCCTAGATAATCTGGGTCTGCTGTGTGAAGATTTCTGATCTGTGCTATCCAAGTGCTTTTCAAAAGTCCCTTCACTGGCTGTAGAAATGCCCACAGCCTCTTCTCCCTCCAACAGGACCTGGCACTGGATTCTGTGCTGAGGAGCTCCATGAAGCACATCAGAGGCTTCCTGTTCTTTCTTATTCACCTCTTTGTATGTGAAGATTCTCCTGCTGGAGCTTTCCTGAGCATCATCCCTCCTGAAGACTCTGAAGTCTTTCGATTGTGTTGCTGAGGGATCTTCCAATTGGACTAGGTCAGTGACTGAGTTTAAGAGTTGAGGGAGGTGAATGTCTGACACAAGTGTGGTCATGTCTTCAAAATCAATGCTGGACACCATGACACTCTGCCGATTCCCTCTCTCTCCCAGACCAAGGCTAGTGATTCTCAAGGTGGAAGTATCAGAAGCTAACTTCACTCTAAGGCTGCCATCATCAGAGTAGTTCAGGGGCTGATGCATGCCGGGCTGTGCTAGAGGGAGGAGTGGTGCATCTTGGATTTCTTTAATGTACTCATAGGTCTTCCTAGGCATGGATGGGTCAGCAGTCATCTCATCCATATTGTTATTCCATGTTTGTTCCAGGCTTGGAGCTGGAGGCCATGTCAGGAATCCCAAAGGACTTTAGATGGGGGCAGTTAATGAGCTATCCCCAAAGACACGTGGTGTCATTATCTGGACATTCTGCATGCAGGCATTGCAGAGGTCTGGACTCTGCAGCAGACAGAGTGTCTGGTCTGAAAGAGTCAATCCCAGAGCCGTCTCCCTGTCCACCACTGAAAAAAGTGAAGGAAGAAGTCAGCGCCTGGTGAGTGAGATGAATAAGCTGCTCCCCTCCTTGCAGGGCACCTCAGCACTGAGCACCTTACAACACTGGAGCGGGGCTTCCTGTTAGCTCTGCCTGAGTGAGAAGTGCATCACCTCTGTGTGGAGACACATATACTGCCCAGTTGTTTCTGGTGACCATGCGATGCCATGTCTTCTTAGATGTTTGTGTGTTTCTTTGTGTTTGTATGGTGTGTGCATGCATAGTGACCACTGCGAGGTTACAAAGGTAGGTCCCTTGGTCTGTCTGTGGTCTTCACTCGCCCCACCCCCTTGGTCTTTGGAACAGTGTTTCTCCTTTCCTTGGAAGTTTGCTCTTAGGTCGATCGACTGGTTTAAATGTTCCAAAATTACATGTGTCTTTCCTTTAATTTTTTTCAGTTTCTGTCATTACTACTATGTCCCCTGAAAGCTCAGTTTTTATAGGAGGTTAAGTATCACACCCAATTCCTCCCTCCTGACAAGTTCTAGAACCCTGAATTTCCACCAGCCCCACATTTCAGAGAGTTCTTATAAGTGACATGAAAATGAGTTTAAGGGGGTAGAATCTTTGGACTGCAGGGTGACTTTCTCTCATTATTGAGAATGAAGATGGAGATGGTGAGCCAGAGGCAAAGCTATCCTCTCTGAATGCAGATTCTTCCCCTGTGTGGGCATTACCTACTGAAAGATCATACTCCTTGGTCTCCTGACTGTACAAACCTTGAAGACTGGTGTATGGCATGGCTCGAGCAGACCTGGGATTAGAGATGGCAGAGGTAGAGATTGGTGATGGGACATTCCTTGACTGAGTCTCCTTGGAAACTATCAGTGTATCTGGTTGCAGGGCAGAGGGCTGAGTTCCAGAGTGGGACACAGCATCATTGTCCTGCAGGCACCATTTGATTTCCACAGGTATCTGGGTTCCCAGTCAGTTGTGGTCATAGTAGGCAACCTGGATGCCTGCCAGGTGGGAAGGTGTCAGGCTGTACCCTTTATTCTGTACATTTGGCAGTGTTGCCTGGAGAAAGCTGGCAGACACTGTTGGGCAGGAAGAGCCTAAAGCATTGAGATCTAAAATATTATCACACTGGGCTCTCATGGACCAGGAGGAGAGTGTGGTGCTCTGGTCAATGATAGTTCCAGTGAAGTCCTTCCTGTCAGTGCTTCTTGTGAGATCCCATAGGAGAGCACCTGGATAGGAGTTTGCCAGTGTAGAGATCTGGCTCTGGTCAGTCAGTGCAGTCAGCATTGTTGTGCCAGCTCGTTGGGAAAGGGAGGCACTGTCCATGAGCTGCTGGCAACAAGTGCTGGGGTCTGATGGCAGGAGCCATGCAGATCTCACAGCTGAGGCAGAGACCCTGGAGAAGTTGCACACACTTCCTGCTGAGGGGGTGGAATTCCTTAGAACAGGCACAGAGGGTCTTAGAGCACATTCTGTCCCAAATAAAGGTGCACATTGGAAATTATCTGTAGGAGGCAAGAGACAGTGGGAAAATGGTGAGATGGAAACTTTGTAGCCTCCTGTGAAGAGCTGTGTTGTGGCCAGCTTGTCCTGTCTGGGAGAGTCTTTCACCCATGCTCCCTCACATATCCCAAACAAATGGATTCAGAGTGATTCTTGGTACAGGGTAGGATGGCACTCATTATATGAGTGTTTCCAGATAGGAGACCCTTAGACTACTTCTCATACCTTGTCTGCCTTATCCCTGTTCTGTGCATATCTTACTCTATTTAGTGAGCTAGAGAACAGTCTGTCCCTGAGTTCCATAAATCAGCCTGCCTCTGCCTCCAGAGTGCTGGTGTTGTATGTACTTCCCATGCCTACCTTGCTTGTCTCTACACTGAGGTTCCTTCATGATATGATGCATCTAGATCTTCATAGACAACTACTATAGTCTTGAAATATTCCATTCTTCCTCTAGCTTCTCCGATTCCCCTCCCAAACTTTGTATCATCTGTGACCTCTTAATAGTTTTACAGTCATTAATCACATATGCATATAAGACTTCATGAATACCACCTACTGAAGTTGTTTGTTGTTGTTTGGAATTATTTTGAGTGACCTCTTCAGATTGCTAATGAAGTAAGCGGTTTCATCTCTGAATAAGGTTTTCTCAGTTTTGCTGTCTGTTAAATTGGCCCTTAAAACAGTTCCTGGGGAACTGATCATTTCTGAAGACTTTTTTCGGTGAGGAGTATTTTTGGGAATTGCACCACACTTTCACATGTCACTTGTCATTTTGCAGGGAACACATGCCTGTGGAGTGTCCCACCCCAGCTGATAATACCCTACATGCATTATTACATGAGTGTTGAGGAGTGCTGTCAAAGATGGGCTGAAGGGAGTGTAAAGTCAGGAACCAGAGGAGAATAGTAGTTCCTTTATGTGACTGGGAATCTATATACATAACAACTTTAACAGTCTGGTTGCATAATCATGGTTTTGTTAATGGCAATGGATTGTGCTTTTGATTTAAATCTATGGTTATCTCCAACTTTCTGCTACAGCTTCCTTTGTGTACCTCAGGGTTATCTCTGAAGTTGTTACTTTTTTGGTCTGTATTTTATAACCCTTCATGCTTTGTTTTCTCCTTTTTTCCATTTCCCATGTGTCTCCCTTCCATGGAAGAGCCTAAATATTCTTTAGACTACAATACCTATCTTATGAGAACCCACATCCAAGTTAGCCTCTCTCACTTTCCTTCATGTAAATCTAGATGTGTCCAAATATCTCAAAATATGGCAGTTATTCCCCATGCATATTTTAATATCCATTTGGTGGTTGTGGATTTAGACCAGTGTAGAACATGTCCATGTGAACTGACCTTCATCCTGTTAAATTCTACAGGCTGAAATTAGGCATGTGCTCCCCTACCTGGTATGAACCTTACTTTTAAACAACCCTGAATTTGGAACAAAAGCAAGAAACAGTAGTGGAGGAAAAATGTCCGTTTTGTGATTTGGACTTCCAGATGTCTGCACACCTTTCCATGTTCTTGTATCTCTTGAGGCCAACACCATCAAGAATGGCCTGGTTTAATCCCCTGTTCACTGACCTGTAATGTCTCAACAGTGAAGACACCAGAGCATAGTGACATTGTTATCACTCTAAGGTGAAAAGAACACAGCTGAAAGCAAACTGTAAGTCCAAAGTCACATAAATATTGTCAACTAAAGCTAAATGTGACATTCACCACGGGATATCTATGTCAGCATCAATATTATCCCCGTTCATGAAAGATTTGAATGTATACTAAAAATAAGAGGAGGATGGATCAAAAGACATATTTTAAAGTTTCATTCCTTACCTGACATGGTCAGGGGGAGAGTATCATCAATCCACAGTACAATGGATCAAGAAAAATTGGCTGTCCTTGTCTGATCAGCAGACCTCAGAGGCAAGTGTGTCCAGTATGAGTCAGCACTCACTGGTCACTGGTCACTGGTCACAGGTGACCTGTTAGGATATAAATTTGTTTACAAGCATCACCATAGAAACACCAAGATTCTACCAGGCAGCATCCAATGGGAAGTTGCCGTTCCAAGCTAAAGGGTGGGATTGGCTGTAGAAGATGCCTGGAGACCAACAGTAGCTATAGAGTCTGAGGTGTGGGCCAGTGAAAGGAGGCGATTGTGGCATGGAAATCCCACTTCCCATTGACTTTAGCCTGTGCTATCATGACACTGCTTTTCTGAGGTTAACTGATGAAGCTGCACTTAATGTTCATATGATGTCCTCCATCAGCACACACTGTAGCTACCTTCAGTAGTCTTTTTCAATAAGTAAGAACCCCCAGATTGAGGGAACTCAGGTAGAAACCCTTTCAGGTGGTCAGAGTTATGAGCTCTCAGCATATGTCCATGACTCAAGAAAGAGATCCAAGGGCTCCTTGCTGAATGTGTTGATGGGCAATGTCAAGTTCCTTGAGTGCACCTGGGATATTGGTCGCCAAGATTCTATTTCTTGGCTTTCATCTCCCATAATTATTCCTTTCTCTTTGCTGTAACTGGCTGGACTCACACTTCTCTTGTCTGATTTCCATGCCTTCTTGATATGGTCTCTCATTCTTGCACCATCTAGACCCTGCAAGCATTACTCCTGTGTGATATCCCTATGAACTTTCAGAAGCAGTAGTCTTATGTTCCTTGTTGATATTCTTGAAGTTGGATGCTTCTTGTAGAATACACAGATGAGAGACTTATGTGCAGCATGGCCACACATGTTCCCTCTTTAATAATTTGTTGCTCTTCTGCTGCACAGAGAGATCTTTTCTCTCTGCCTCGTGTTCTGTTTTCCTGAGGTAAACTTGTCTCTTTAGCCACTATTCTGGAAGTCAGTGTGTTTCACAATCAGATTTCAGGGGCATGGGCATTGCTATTTTCTTTGCTCCCTTCTTAATATTACCAAAATTATAGTGAGTCAGTGAATCTTGCTACTTTCTCTCTTCATCCATAGTACAATGAGTGTGACAGTTAGAGAAGAATCTTCTTCCTTCCAACTACCTCTGTAGAATCCCTGGCTTCCAGGATTCTATACCATGCTTGGGTCTGAGACCAGGATAAACATAGGGTGGAGCACCAGTAGGAAGAAGGCATTTGTTGATCCTGGGTGCTGGATTCCATGAAAGGAGAAATGTAGGTGTTTTGATTTATATGTGTAAAAGAACTACCCATTTCCCAACTCATTGTACGTTCACAGACAAGAAATTGTCTTGTGATTTGTTGAAATATGGGGGGATCTTGTGTCTTTCCTCATTTTGTTTTGTGTTGCATCACCCCTTTCTGTCACTCCCTTATAGGTTCATGGAGCGTATCCTGGCATGGGTGTAGGAGGCGTTTATATTCATCCCTCTTTCTAACTGCCACACAAACGCTAGCTAATGTGCCAATGTCTAACAGTCGTGTAAACCGACCAAGGAGCCTGTTTCACTGTTTTCATTAAAAGAGGAGTCAGAGCTTTCACTCAGGACCTCTTTCACTCTGTGCTAGTGCTGTAGCATGCAGCTACATGTGCAGCCCAGTATCACTCTTCCTCCATATAGAGACTTTCATGTTTTATACTGCTGGACAAAACTCTGCCGTTAGTATGACCTTTTCCAAAGGACATCAGAATGACCCTGTCATCCCCTCTACCAGATTCCCTTATAACTAATCAATGGTCAGATAATGTGACACCTTCCCAGTGGAAATGCCTGACAATTGGATGATTCATTCACTCTTCTGGTCTTAGAACTTTCAGGAGAAACATGGATCTCAGGATGCAGTGTAAACCAAAGTGTGCAGAATGTTACCAGGACTGTGCTATTGAACACTCTGACAATAGACATGAAACTAGAGACAGTTGGGTTGGTTCATAGAAACATGGATGGATGGATGGATAGATACATAGATGCATGTATGGATGGATGATTGCGTGAGTTGTTGGATGGAAGGAAGTATGTATAGATAAATAGAACTGTATTCAGTTTTTTTATTTAAGTAACAAACAAGCTTGTTTCACATATCAATTCCAGCTCCCTCTCCTTCCCTTCCTCCCCTGTCCTCCCCTCCAGGTCCCCCAGTCCCCTACCCAATTGTCCCGACCCGCAGGACATTCATCATGGGTCTGGTGGACCACTAGGAGAAAGATGGAGGACAGGGGATACAGGAATGGATGCCAAGACAGGATTCTGATCAAGGTGACAACTTTATTTCATTCCCAAAGGGATTTATATAGTAGAGCTGAGTAGGGAAAAGGGCGAAGGTGTACTTGCACCTGCAGGGGAGAGGTGGTCTGCTGTGTTGCCTGGCTACCTAATCTACAGTGCAAGAGGTCAGGGGTAGGAAATCCTATGTTGCTTGGTAACCTGACATCAGGGTCCGATCCTATCTATTACAATTTACTACTGCTCAGGCCTATCTCCTGACAACCTTGTAGTTTTCCAGTTTAGCTAATCTTTACCTGACAGGTAAACTGCAGGCTTGTTTCTTGGAATTTGCTTTATGTCAGAAGGGGTGGCAGTGTGGTCTTAGTGTCATGTCTTCTCTATGAGTACGTGATACAGCCTAGCTGACTGATGGCTGGAGGTCCCTGACACCCAATCTCCACTCCGATCCCCAGGGATAGGATGGTGAGGCACTCCATGGTGGATCTCCAGTGACTTTCATTTCATCCAAGGTAGGGCCTAGACCTTCCTTCAAGTGTCCCGGCTGAGAGAGCATCCCATATTGTGGCATGGGGACTCAAAATCTATTTGTACGCCTCGGATAAATACTACCCAAGGCCCCATAGATTACCTAGGCCTCCTCACTGACACCCACCTTCAGAGGGTCTGGGTCAGTCCCATGCTTTCTACACAGAAATCAATCTGGGGTCCAAGAGCTCCCCCTTGTTCAGGTCAACTGCTGGCGTGGGTTAAACCAGCTCAGTCTTAACTCCTTTGCCCATAAGTTCTCCCTTTCTGACACTGGATTCCAGGAGTTCAATTCAATGTTTGTCTGAGGGTATCTGCTTCTGCAATCATCAGTCACTGGATGAAGGTTCTGTTTCAGAGAGTCTCTGGCAGTGGGATGGTATGATGGCAATCCCCTGATTCATGTCTAAAATCCATAAATGAGTGAGTACATACCATGTTTGACTTTTTGTGACGGGGTTAGTTCATTCAGGATGGTTTCTTCTAGTGCCATCCACTTTCCTGCAAATTTCAAGATTCCATTGCTTTTTTCCTGCGGAATAGTACTCCATTGTGTAAATGTACCACATTTTCTCTATCCACTCTTCAGTTGAGGGGCATCTAGGTTGCTTCCAGGTTCTCGCTATTACAAATAATGCTGCTATGAAAATGGAGGAACAGACATCCTTGCTGTAAGAATGTATATCTTTTGGATATATGCCTAAGAGTGGAATTGCTGGGTCTTGTGGTAGGCTGATTCCCATATTCCTGAGGAATCTCCATACTGATTTCCAAAGTGGTTATACAAGTCAGCACTCGTACCAGCAGTGTAGGAATGTTCCCCTACCATTGGAGCTTTTGATTTTAGCCATTCTGACAGGAGTGAGATGGTATCTCAGAGTTGTTTTGATTTGCATTTCCTAGATGGCTAGGGATGGTGTGTACTTTCTTAAGTGTCTCTCAGCCATTTTAGATTCCTCTACTGAGAATTCTCTATTTAGGTCTGTACCCCACTTTTTGATTGGAACTTTTGATGTTTTGGAGACTTGCTTGTTGAGTTCTTTGTAAATTTTGGAGATCAGCCCTCTGTCAGATGTGGGTTGAGTGAATGTCTTTCTGCAATCTGTGGGTTGCCTTTCTGCCTTACTGACTGTGTCCTTTGTGTTACAGAAGCTTCTCAGTTTCAGGAGCTCCCATTTATTAATAGTCAATGTTAGTGTCTGTGATACTGCAGTTATGTTCAGGAAGTGTTCGCCTGTACCAATTCATTCAAGGTTTCCTCCCATTTTCTCTTCTAACAGTTTCAGTTTGGCTGAATTGATATTGAGGTCTTTGATCCATTTGGATTTACGTTTTGTGCATGGCAACATACATCGATCTGTCTGCAGTCTTCTCCATGCCAATATCCAGTTGTACCAGCACCATTTGTTGAAGAAGCTTTCTTTTTTCCATAGTATAATTTTAGCTTCTTTGTCAAAGATCAGGTGTTCATATGTGTGTGGGTTAATGTCGGGGTGTTCAATTCGATTCCATTGTTCTATCTTCGTTTTTGTGCAAATACGAAGGTGCTTTCAGGAATATAGCTCTGTTCTAGAGCTTGAAGTCTGGGATGGTAATACTTCCAGATGTTGCCTTGTTGAACAGGGTTGCTTTGGCTATCCTGGGTCTTTTGTTTTTCCCTATACACTTGATTATTGTTCTTTCAAGGTCTGTGAAGAATTGTGCTGGTATTTAATGTGGACTGTGTGCTTTAGGTAAGATTGCCATTTTTACTATGTTGATCCTACCTACCCAAGAGTATGGGAGATCTTTCAATCTTTTTCCCATCTTCTGGTGTCTTCTTTAAATTCTTTCTTTAAAGACTCAAAAGTTCTTGTGATACAGGGCTTCCACCTTTTTGGTTAGCATTATCCCAAGATATTTTATATTGTTTGTGGCTATTGTAACAGGCAATGTTTCTCTGATTTCTTTCTCAGCCCTTTTATCGTCTGTGTATAGTAGGGCTACTGATTTTATTGAGTTGATCTTGTATCCTGCAACTTTGATGAAAGTATTTATCAGCTGCAAGACATCCCTGGTTGAGTTTTTTGGGACACATCTGTAAACTATCATATCATCTTCTAATAGTGAGAGTTTGACCTCTTCTTTCCAATTTGTATCACCTTTATCTCCTTTTGTTGTGGTATTGCTCTAGCTAGAACTTCAAGTACAATATTGAAGAGTTATGGAGAGTGGACAGCCTTGTCTTTTTCCTGATCTTAGAGGAATTGCGTTGAGTTTCTGTCCATTTAGTTTGATGTTGGCTGTTGGTTTGCTGTATATAGCTTTTATTATCTTTTGGTAAGTTCCTGTTATCCCAAATCTCTCCAAGACCTTTATCATGAAGGGGTGTTGGATTTTGTCAAAGGCTTCTTCATGATCCATTGAGATGATAATGTGATTTATGTTTTTCAGCTTGTTTATATTGTGAATTACATTGATAGATTTTCCTATGTTGAAACATGCCCTCCATGCCTGGGATGAAGCCTACTTGATCAGTCTGGATGAGTATTCTGATGTGTTCTTGGACCTGATTTGCCTTTATTTTATTGAGTATTTTTGCATGAATGTTCATGAGGGATATTGGTCTGAAGTTCCCTTTCTTATTGTGTATTTTTGTGGCCTGGGGATCAAGGTTATTGAAGCCTCATAGAAAGAGTTTGGCAAAGACCCTTCTGCTATCATGACAGTGCTTTTTTAAGGTTAACTGATGAAGCTGTGCATACTGTTTATATGATGTGTACCATCAGCATACACTGTAGGTACCATCAGTAGTCTTTGACAAGACATAAGAAACACCCAGGTTGAGGGAAGTCAGGTGAGTATCCCTTTCTATGGATCTGAGTTATGAGTTGTGTGCATGTGTACATGACCCAAGGAAGAGATCCAAGGGCTCCTTGCTGACTGTATTGAAGGTCAATACTGAGTTCATTGAGTAAACCTGGGATATTGGACTCTGGGATCGACTCTGTTGCTATCTTCTCCCAGAAGTATTCCTTTCTCTGTATGGGCACAGGATAGACTCACACTTCTCTTCTTTTCATCCCTGGATATGTTCTCATTCTTGGACCATATAGACCCTACAATTACAGAGAGATCTGGTAATCTCCCCTTGTTGGAAGTAGGCAAGCCAGCTTGACTTACTATATTCCGTGTTTCTTGAGTTCCCTATATTCCTGGTAAGTATGAAAGCCACCTGCACTAATTGCTTATAATTGATGACCTGATAAATCCCCTGCATCTTCATGACAGGCAGGTGGATACAGACGTAAACAAGTGTAATGAAAATAAAATCATGGAGAATAATTTTGTCACCACCACTGCTTTTGGCTAATTGAATACTGTGCATTTATATATAAACCCAGACATGTACACATTAATCTACTTACCTACATATGCACTTAAATGTTTATATATTCACAAGACATTTAAACATCTGACATATCCATGTGTCTGTATGTATATCCCAGCTTGTGTATAATGTCCAGCACTGCATTAGAAAGGCTTGGCCAGCACTTACATTGCATAGCCATAATATTGAACAATTTCCATATCCTTTTCCCTGTGAAGGAAAACGAGAAGTTTGTTCTGAGAGGACCACTTGGCAGCATTCTGTTGCTCCTGTTGAGCCCAGCTCCCTCTCTGGCCTCTGCTCTGCTGTGATGGGCTATGAGATGCCTGGCCCTGGAATGTCTGCTTTCCTCCATGGAAGTGGTTGGCAGGTGAAGTCTTGCAGCATGTATTGGGTTTGAGGTTTGGGAGGTGATGGGGCCTTGATCCTGGCAGCAGAGACAAGCTCCCTCTGGAGTGAAGGATGAGATGATGCTCTGTAGGTGTCAGGCCACGGACAGCTGGTCGAGGCATTGTGCAATAATGGAAGTTGTTGGTTATGTTATGTCGTGTTGCACTGTTGGCAGTCAGCACAGCTGTCTTCTCAGAGGCCGTCAAGGATTTGCTGGCAGGAGCTGCTTGGGATGAATTGAGTGTGGTAGCTGGAGCCAAGTGGGAATGTGGCCTCACAGCATAAGCTGCAGTGGGATTGCCTGAAGTCAGGGAAAGAAGCTTTCTGGAAAAATGTCTGGCTTGAGTCTTGCCCAAGTCTGGGAAGCGCAGAGGTACTAACTTGACCTTTCCAGGTGGGGGCAGCTTACACGGGGAAGGAGGTAGACACTCCTTGTGAGCACTGATCTCTGATCTCTGAGCATTTCCTGGGGTGTTAGCAAGCCCTGGGCCATCACATGGCACATCTAGGTGTGATGTGGTGGCTGGGCCTGTCCTGGCATCTTGGTTGTTGCTGAAGTTTGGCAGAGACTGAAAGCAGGAGATCCTCGTTTTCTTGTCACTCTTCTTTCCCCGTGGGTAAAAGAACTGCACGGCCTCCAGCATGTGGATGCCGAGGTGAGTTAGAGGCTTCTTAAAGCTGTCATGACTGAGTTCAGGTGGATTCCTCTTCCTCTTGGTCTTGGTGATGCTGAGCTTGTCTTCTACCTTGACTCTGGGACAAGGTGGCTTCAGCTCTCCAGTTTTCTTGGCTTTGTTGACTCTGGTCTTCTTGGGTCTTGTCTTGGTCCTGTGACCTAGATATCCTGGGACTGCTGTGTGAAGATTTCTGATCTGTGCTATCCAAGTGCTTTGCTGTGTTGTCAAAAGTCCCTTCACTGACTGTAGCAATGCCCATGGCCTCTTCTCCCTCCAACAGTACCTGACACTGGATTCTGGGCTGAGGAGCTCCATGAAGCCCATCAGAGGCTTTCTGGTGTTTCTTTTCTACCTCTTTGTATGAGAAAATGATGCTGCTGGAACTTTCCAGGTCCTCATCCCTCCTGAAGGCTCTGAAGTTTTTTGATTGTGTTGCTGGTGGATCTTCCATTTGGACTAGGTCAATGAGTTTAAGATCTTGGGAAGGTAAATGTATGACATAAGCATGGTCATGTCTTCAAAATCAATGCTGGACACCATGACACTCCAGAGTCCCTGTGTCTCCCAGAACAAGACTAGTGCTTCAGCAAGGTGGAAGTATCAGAAGTAAGCTTCTGCCTCAGGCTTCCATCATCAGAGTAGCTCAGGGGCTGCTGCATTCCGGGTTGTGCTGAAGGGAGGAGTGGTGCATCTTGGATTTCTTTAATGCACTTATAGGTCTTCCTAGGCATGGATGGGTCAGCAGTCATCTCATCCATGTTGTTATTCTTTGTTTGTCCCAGGAACTGGAGGTCATGTCAGGAATCCCGAAGGACTTTGGATGGGGGCAGTTAATGAGATGTCCCCAAAGACAGGTGGTTTCATTGTCTGGACATCCTGCATGCAGGAATTGCAGAGGTCTGGAATCAGCAGCAGATAGTGTCTGGTCTGAAAGTGTCAATCCCAGGGTTGTCTCCATATCCACTACTGAAAAGAGTAAAAGAAGAAGTCAATGCCTGGTGAGTGATGTGAGTAAGCTGCTCCCCTCCTTTCAGTGCACCTCAGCACTGAGGCCCCTACAGCATGGGAGCGGGGCTTCCTGTTAGCTCTGCCTGAGTGAGAAGTGCATCACCTCTTTGTGGAGACACATAATACTGCTCAGTTGTTTCTAGTGACCACGCGATGTCATGTCTTCTCAAATGTTTGTGTATTCCTTTGTGTTTGTATGGTGTGTGCATGCATAGTGACCACTGTAAGGTTACAGACATAGGTCCCTTGGCCTGTATTTGGTCTTCACTCGCCCCCCCCTTGGTCTTTGGAACAGTGTTTCTCCTTTCCTTGGAAGTTTGCTCTTAGGCAGGACATCTGGTGTAACAGTTCCAAAAGTATATGTGTCTTGCCTTTATCTTGTTTCAATTTCTGTCATTACTACTATGTCCCCAGAAAGCTCAATTTTTATAGGAGGTTAAGTATCACACCAAATTCCTCCCTCCTGACAGGTTCTAGAACCCTGAATTTCCTCCAGCCCTACATTTCAGAGACTTCTTATGAGTGACATGAAAATGACTTTAAGGGGGTAGAATCTTTGGACTGCAGGGTGAATTTCTCTCATTATTGAGACTGAAGATGGTGATGGTGAGCCAGAGGCAAAGCTATCCTCTCAGAATGCCCATTCTCCTTCTCTGTGGGCATTACCTACTGAAAGATGATATTCCTTGCCCTCCTGGCTGTACAAACCTTGAAGTCTGGAGTCTGGCATCGCTCAAGCAGACCTGGGATTAGAGATGGCAGAGGTAGAGAAAGGTGATGGGACATTCCTTGGCTGAATCTCCTTGGAAATTATCAGTGTCTCTGGTGGCAGGGCAGAGGCCTGATTTCCAGAGTATGACACAGCATCATTTTCCTGCAGGCACCAGGTATCAGGGGTCTCAGTCAGTTGTGGTCATAGTAAGCAACCTGGCTGCCTGCCTGGTTGGAAGATGTCAGGCTGTATCCTTGATTCTTTGCATGTGGCAGTGTTTCATGGGAAAATATGGCAGACACTGTTGGGCAGGAAGAGACAAATTCCTTGAGATCTAAAATATTATCACACTGGGCTGTCATGTACCAAGAGGAGATTGTGGTGCTATGGTCAATGATAGTTACAGTGAAGTCCTTCCTGTCAGTGCTTCTTGTGAGATCCCACAGGAGAGCACCTGGATAGGAGTTTTCTGATGTAGAGATCTGGTTCTGGTCAGTCATTGCAGCCAGCATGGTTGTGCCAGCTATTTGGGAAAGGGAGGCACTGTCCATGATCTGCTGGCAACAAATGCTAGGGTCTGATGGCAGGAGCCATGCCGAACTCACAGCTGGGGCAGATACCCTGGAGAAGTTGCACACACTTCCTGCTGAGGGGTGGAATTCCTCAGGACAGGCACAGAGGGCCTCAGAGCACATTCTGTCCCAAATAAAGGTGCACATTGGAAACTATCTGTAGGAAGCAAGAGACTGTGGGAAAATGGTGAGATGAAAACTTTGTAGCGTCCTTTGAAGAGCTGTGTTGTGGCCAGCTTGTTCTGTCTGTGAGAGTCTTCACCCATGCTCCCTCAAATATCCCAAACAAATGGAGTCAGAGTGATTCTTGTTACAGTATAGGAAGGCACTCATTATATGAGATGTTCCATTTTAACCCTTGCTCTGTTCTAGACACCACTGTTTCTTGCCCGGCTGTGTCTGCTGTGACACTCCTTCACGTGTCCTAGGTCAGAAATGTATCCAGATAGGAGACCCTTAGACAATTTCTCAAACTTTGTCTGCCTTATCCCTGTTCTGTGCATATCTTACTCTATTTAGTGAGCTAGCAAACAGTCTGGACCTGAGTTTCACAGATCAGCCTGCATTTGCCTCCAGAGTGCTGGTGTCATACATACTTCCCATGCCTACATTGCTTGTCTCTACACTGGGTTTCCTTCATGATATGATGCATCTAGAACTTCATAGACAACTACTGTAGTCTGGAAATATTATGTTCCTCCTCTAGCTCCTCCTATTCCCCTCCCAAACTTTGTATCATCTGTGTCCTTTTCATAGTTTTACAGCCATTAATCACATATGCATATAAGACTTCATGAATATAACCTACTGAAGATGTTTGTTGTTGTTTGGAAATGTTTCGAGTGACCTCTTCAGATTGCTAATGAAGTGAGGGGTTTCATCTCTGAATAAGATTTTCTCAGTTTTACTGTCTGTTAAATTGGCTCTTAAAACAGTTCCTGGGGAACTGATACTATCTGATGACTTTTCCAGTGAGGAGTATTGGTGGGAATTGCACCAGACTTTCACATGTCACTTTTAATTGTGCAGGGAACACCTGCCTGTGGAGTGTCCAGCCCCACATGATAATACCCTACTTAAATTGTTACATGAGAGTTGACAAGTGCTGCCAAAGATGGACTGAAGGGAGTGTAAGGTCAGGTACCAGAGGAGAATAGTATTTCCTATAAGTGACTGGAAACCTATATACATAACAACATTAACAGTCTGATTGCCTAAACATGGTTTGGTAAATGGCAATGACTTGTGCTTTTGATTTAAATCTATGGTTTGTGTACCTCATGGTCATCTCTGATGTTGTTACTTTTTTGTCTATATTTTCTAACACTTCATATTTTTTCCATTTCCCATTTGTCTCCCTTCCAAGGAAGAGCCTCAATGTTCCTTTGAATATTTGAATATTGAATACCTGCCTTATGAGAACCCACAGCCCATTTAGCCTCTCTCACTTTCCTTCATGTAAATCTAGAGATGTCCAAGTAATTCAAAATATGGCAGTTATTCTCCGTGCATATTTTAATATCCATTTGGTGATTGTGGATTTAGAGCAGTGTCGAACATGTCAGTGTGAAATGACCTTCATCATGTCAAGTTCTACATTCCGAGATTACAGGTGTGTGCCCATATTCACAGGGTCTGGGGTCAATCCCATCCTTTCCACATAGCCATTAATCTGGGGTCAAAGAGCTCTCCCTTGTTCAAGTCAACTGTTTCTGTGGGTTAAACCAGCCCAGTCTTAACTCTTTTGCCCATCAGTTCTCACTTTCTTTTTTTTTTAGATATTTTTATTATTTTAATTTTAAATAGCTTGTTTTACATGTCAATCCCAGTTCCCTCTCCCTCCCCTCCTCCTGAACTCCCCATCGCCCTCCCCTGCCTCCCACCCTATTGCCTATTCCTTCCACATAGGGGATATCTAGAGTCTGTCATTTCACTCAGGGTAGGGTCCAGGCACTCCCCTAAGAGTCCCGGCTAAGAGCGCATCCCTCTTTGTGTTATGGACACACCATGTCAGTTTGTATTCCAGGGATAAATACTGATCCACTGCTCAGAGCCCCATAGGTTGCCCAGGCCTCCTCACTGACTCTCACATTTGGGGGTCTGGATCAGTCCCATGCTGGCCTCCCAGCTGTCGGTCTGGGGTCCAAGAGATCTCCCTTGTTCAGATCAGCTGTCAATGCTGGTTTTGCCAGCCCATTCTTTGCCAATTTGCTCATTGCTCCTCTCTCTCTCTGTCACTGGGTTCCTGGGGTTCAGTTCAGTGTTTAACTGTTTGTGTTTCCCTCTAATTCCATCAGTCACTGGATGAAGGCTCCAGGATGGTTATAGACATCAAGTCCATTATCAGGAATGGGCATTCTAGGTGGTCTCTCCACTATTGTTTAGCTTGCAAATTGGTGTCATCCCTTTAGATCACTAGAGGTCACACTGGTGCCTAATCTGTCTTATAACCTATGATTCACTCTTCCCCCTAATCCAGCCCCACTCAACCTCCTGTTCCCCCATGACCTACTCTCTCTTCCCCTTCTTCCCTTTCTTATTCCCAGCTCCCTCTCCCCCACCACTCCTCGCTGTGTTCCCAATCTCTTCAGAAGATATTGCATCATTCCTCTTCTCTGGGGTACCATGCATATCTCTCTTAGGTTCTTAGGTCTGGGTCAGTCCTATCCTTTCCACATAGCCATTATTCTGGGGTCCAAGAGCTCCCCCTTGTTCAGTTCAACTATTTCCGTGGGTTAAACCAGCCCAATCTTAACTCCTTTGCCCATCAGATCTCACTTTCTGACATTGGATTCCAGGAGTTCAGTTCAGTGTTTGTCTGTGGGTATCTGCCTCTGCATTCATCAGTCACTGGATGAAGGTTCCATTTCTGAGAGTCTCTGGCAGTGGGATTGTATGCTGGCACTCAACATATTCATGTCTAAAATTCATAAATGAGTGAGTACATACCATATTTGATGTTTTGTGACTGGGCTAGCTCACTCAGGATGGTTTCTCCTAATGCCATCGACTTGCCTGCAAAATCAAGATACCATTGTTTTTTTCTGCTGAATAGTACTATGTTATGTAAATGTAGCACATTTTCTCTATCCAGTCTTCAATTGAGGTGCATCTGGGTTGCTTCCAGGTTCTGGCTATTACAAATAATGCTGCTATGAA